TTCTTTTTTTTAAAAATATTTATTTATTTATTTATTTATTTATTTATTTATTATATATACAATATTCTATCTGTGTGTATGTCTGCAGGCCAGAAGAGGGCACCAGACCTCATTACAGATGGTTGTGAGCCACCATGTGGTTGCTGGGAATTGAACTCAGGACCTTTGGAAGAGCAGGCAATGCTCTTAACCACTGAGCCATCTTTCCAGCCCAGTAATTTATTTCTTACATGTATAGATTATTAATTGCTATTGTAATTGTATAGTCTAAATGGCAATAATAAAAATAAATGCAATAATATATAATGGGACCTTACTAGAAAAGGTATGCCTGTATCTTTTACATCAGGGATAATCAAACTGTAACCACAAGCAAGATGTGATAGTCATCCACTTAAAAAAAATTTTATTGGTACACAGACATATTTCTTCATTTACATATCACCTATGGCTGCCTTTTCACTTTAACAGCGGAGTTAAAAATCCCAGATTTAGGACCTACAAAGCCCCAAACAATATCACTTTCTTTCCAAGGAAAGTTTACAAGCTCTTGCTTTATAGGATAATCAAATTTAACTCCACAACTCTCAGGTCTGTATTTCTGTCGTCCTCTTCCACAAAGGGAGAAACTGGACTTAGGAAGAGATGTCACATAGCCAAAAAAAGAGGGTACAGGGGTTCAAAACCAACCAGTCTCGCTCTGCATTTGACTAAACAGCTTTTCTGAAAAGCAATGAAAAGACGTTACCTTTGGAATTCCTATGCAGAGTCTGCTCACATCCACCTCACTGGGAATCCTGGATAGTTTAATAGGATCTTGTACTGTGGTGGAATCTTTGGGGTCATGTCCAGCCAGTATACCTGCAAGAAGATATTCTTATGTGTGGCCAACATATTGTTTTACAGTGAGACTTTTGAATAATATGCAACCACAGAAATACCTAACACAATAGCTGTATCATCCACACATCTGGTGAAGATTCCTGGCACATCCATCGAATTCACCAGGGGAATGAGGCCATGACGGGAAACTAATCCATAGCTTGGCTTGAAACCAACAAGCCCACAGTGGGCAGCAGGGTTTCTGGTGGACCCTCCAGTATCTGATCCTAGAGCCCTGGGATTCAAAGAGAATTCTTTTTAGAGGAACGACACTCTCAAATTGCATTTGAAATCTACTATCTAAAAGTGTACTTTCTCTTAATGACACAGAGTAATCCATACTCATCTCAAAGGACTCACATGGTATAGAAAACCACAAAGACCCCGTAATAAACACAGTTAATATTTTGGCAGATCCAACCCTTCCTTTTGTCTCTGCTTCCTGAGAGCTGGAATTATGGACATGCACCACTATGCTTGGCCTTTCAACTCTTTTTTTAAAAAAATGTGTTTTTTTTTCCTTTTTTAGAGAACATTTTGTAATTGTAAGTTTCCATCCTGATTTTGTTTAAAATGACCTTTCGCTGCCATTAAAATTGTAAAAGTTGAGCATATGTACAAATATTTTAAAATATGTCAAGTAACAACAGGCAGTATCTTTCACAAGCGGAACACTCTCTGCAGAAACCTGGACCCCAAGCCTTTGCTCTCCCATTGAGAGTCATGGCTAGAGATGTACTCTAATTTGCACAATGTTGTTTTCATCTGGAATGGTAACTTCTGCACACCCCTGTTGATAAACACCTTAACACATAAATTTCTGCACATGTTGATGATTGCTTTAGGTGGCTGGCTTCTAAGAAAGAGGGTTAGTGAACACAAGGGCCTGTTTGTTGTTATAAATTCTTACCCTATATAATCAAATTACTTGTTGCAGATCAGGTCAATTCATATATTTACTTCTGGTGAACTGGTTTTTAACATTTCAGTATCATTACTGTACTCAGTTTTTAAAATTTTGGTTAATCTGATTTAAAAAATACTTCTTAAATATTCATTTTGAAAAACTTTTCGTTATCCAATAATGTAAATGCTCATTTCATAGACCAGTCACCTAGAGAATATATTCTGTTCTTTTTTTTTTTTTTTTTTAAAAAAAGTAACATGGTTTAAGACAGTATATTATATGGTAGAAGAAACTAATTAAAACAAAAAACGTAACCTGAAGGACATCATGCTAAGTAAAGCAAGCCAGTCAAAGAAGACAAATGCAGAAAGCACATGCAGGAAGTACCCAGGGCAGTCAAACCCACAGACAGCAAGAAGGTTGCTTGAGACTGGGGGTGGGGGCGGTTAACGGGTACTGGCTTCAGTTTTACAAGATGAAAAAAAAGTTTTGCAGATTAATTGCAAAATTACATATACATATTTTACCACAACTGAAATTTTAAATTATTTAAAAACAAAGCTGTTGGATAGTACATGCCTACTACAAAATTTAAAGTATCATATCATTACATAATGTAGAAGTAAAAATTTACTTATTTTAGTACCCACAACAGCTCTGCTACACACTTTCATCCAGATTCCCCATGTATGACCAATGATTATTCCTAACGGGAGTTAGATACACTGTCCATAACTTGTTTTCACTCAATGCACCTTGAGTAACTTTCGTATCATCCCACAGGGCCCTGTCTCATTCTTTCTATGTGGCTCAATCATACTCTAAGAATCTTCTCAATTTAAAAACTATAATAAGGCAAATAAATCAATGTAAGGGAGACAAAAGAAGACTACTGAAGTTACTTTTGGTTGGTGTGTCTACTGATTATTCACACATATACAATCTACTGATTATACTGAAAGCAATGCTTTGGACTGAGTAACACTCCTAATAATAATAAGCCACTTGCACACTACAGAAAATGCAAATTGTATTTCGTTTCTCGCCAAGTCCATTTAACTACATAATCAGTCTGCTGCTTTCATAATTTTAAAAAGATCCTGTCTCTTATTAGCATTCACTGATGGCTGTGTAAAAGTAAAACCTACATCTCCTTAGGAATTATGTGTCAAAATGCCATCTTCTCAAAGTAGATTCAGAAAGATAACATTAAGGGGGATGTTGAGGGTAGGGAAAATTCACCTGATCCTGCACTTCTAACATGTCAGAACTCTCATTAATATTAATGCAATGCTATAACATTCCACAGATAAATGAAATGGCTCGGCTTCTTAACAAGATTTCAGCATTATGAAAAAAAGTCTGAGGAAACCACAGCACCATAGTTCTAAAATATGTAAATAAATTATTGGTTGCAATCCCTGTGAAAGAATGTAGTCTTAGTGGATAATTCAAGAGAGGGAAAATACATACAGAATATATTACTGAGGAAACATCTTCGACTTACTTAAATTGAAACTGATAAAAGAAACCATTTTTCACTATTCTTTAGGTGGTTAACAGTTTTTGGAGGGCCAGCAATGGTGGCAGAGGCCTAGGACCTCAGCACTTGGGAGCTAGGCAAGAGGATCAGGGGTTTGAGGCCATTGTCTGCTACACAAAGACTGAAGTCAAACTGGGTTGTAACTGAGACCACACTTCAGATGCCAGCTCTCTCTAGAAAAAGAAAGAGATGTCTTTAAAAATGGCACTTAAAACACGGCTGACGGGTTCTTACTGATGTACGACAGATCATCAGCCTAGGCTGAGAGCTCTGTGAAGTGGCAGGCACATTCAGCTGCAGATGTACGGAAACACTATTTAAATATCTTGTTGGTAAATACTAAGGGGATGCTTTTTCTTTTAAATCACCAGCAGCAGCTCAGCAGCAATGAACTAAAGCACTGTCATTTGCATAGTGAACTGATGCCGTGAGTGAATAAAAAAATAAGATTCCTGAAATCCACTCATGTTCAATGTCTTATCTGGCAAGATCCATAAAGCCGTGTTTTTAAAGAACCAGAGACTACAGAAGAAACGGTAAAATGTTATTTTAAATTAAGTTTTGATGTACAAAGTTCACCTAATGGCTAAAGCTGAGTATACTCAGACATCATTTTAATACACTGTTGAGCACAAACAGTTCACCAAAAAGAAATACAAATACCAGGGTCTGCACTCCACGCTGCTGGGTTTAGCGCGTAGGTGGTTTTGTATTTTGGTATAAAGCACGGACAGGGGCATCTTACGCGAAGCACGTGAACGCTGCCACAGCGGCCGCACTGCCACCTGAGCTCCCTCCAGCTATCAGCCAATGGGAATCGTCATGCTCATCAAGCCGCCGCCTTTCTCTGTGTTGCTTTGAATAACTCCAGGGGTTTTTAACTGGTCCAAACACACCATCTGTGCTTCCAGATCTGAGATGGAGAGGCAAAGCAGTACCTTAGAAAAGCTTCATTTTATGTCCCCAGGGAAACTCGCGGAGCATTTATTTATTTATTTATTTATTTATTTATTTATTTAAGATTTCTGTCTCTTCCCCACCGCCGCCTCCCATTTCCCATTTTGTGGGAGCCTAGGCAGTTTGGATGCTCACCTTACTAGACCTGGATGGAGGTGGGTGGTCCTTGGACTTCCCACAGGGCAGGGAACCCTGATTGCCCTTTGGGCTGATGAGGGAGGGGGACTTGATTGGGGGAGAGGGAGGGAAAGGGGAGGCGGCGGTGGGGAAGAGACAGAAATCTTTAATAAATAAATAAATTAATTAAAAAAAAGAAATTGAAAAACTATAGCATAAAATAAGTCATGGACTAGAATGTGGCCCAGTGGCCTAAACCACTTTTGTCGCCAAGCCTGACAACCTGTTCAGTCCCTAGTTATCCATCTGGTGGGTGATGTGCTGTGTATTGTTGACCATTGGGAGGCCTGCCCCTTTCTGAATGGAGATGGAAGAGGAGTGAATGGAGGAGAAGTGGGGGGGGGAGAACTTCAGTCAGAATGTAAACTAAATGAAAAAATTTAATTAGTAAGAAAACAGAAATCACATAAGCTCTATAGAAGGTTTACATCAGAAAAGGTAAAAAAATGTTGAGAGAAATGAGCAAAAATCTTAATTAGTACATACTCTTGGCATTTATGTATTAGAAGATACAGACAGAGGCCAGCTCAAAAGAAGTTGTTAAAACTTATGTGGAAAACAAACAGGGCTACAGTGCATTCAGTGACCTTAAAACATGACAGCAGTGTGTGCAGTGACTTCTAAAACAGGGCTGCAGTGTGTGCAGTGATTTTAAAAGGAACAAAGTGAGAAGATTCTTGCCACCACTGTCAAGACAGATCACTCAAGTTTACACGTGTGTGTTTGTAAAGAACAAGGACTAGCTTAGCTCGTCTAAACAGCGGTGGGAGTAAAATGTCCATATGTAAAAAATTGAATTACATTCGTACAAAAAAACTTAAACAACATAGGTAACATATCTAAATGTAACAAAATTAGGAGAAAAACCTATCATTTTGGTCTGGATAAGGATTATGGAAGCATTAGTAGAGATCAACGTAAGAAGAAAAAGATGATCTGGATTTAATCAAAATTAAAAATTTCAACTCTTTGAAAAACACAGTGTGTGGGTAACACTGATTATCAATGTGGTAGGACCTAGAATCAGCTAGGACACAGGTCCTGGGGCAAGGTGTCTCTAGCCGGGGTTAACAGAGGAACTGTGGGCAGCACATTTCTGAACCATCCCATGGGCCAGGCCCCTTGACTAGTATAGAGTGCTGGCTAAGCAGTAGTCATTGCCCTGCCTCCTGACTGCACAGGTCATGTGATCTGAGCCTCAGGCTCCCATTGCCATGTCTTTCCTGCCATAGGCCCCCAAACTGTAGGCTGAAATAAGCCCTTACATTAGGGCGGTTTATCAGTTCTCTGTATTATAGCAAAGAGAAAAGTAACCAATACAGTCAGAAAGAAAAGATAAGCCAAAGACTTTGAGAACAGATTTGTAAACCCTTTGATAACAGACTTGGATCCAGAATACATGAAAGAACTCTTATAACTCAATAAATAAACCAACTTACAAAAGATTTGGATCATACTTCACCAAAGATACACAAATGGCAAAATAAGCACACGAGAAGGCACTTAGTCATTATTTACCATGGAACTACATTCTTAAAAAAACCCAAACAATATACCTACATCCTTGTTAGACAACAGATGAGCTTACCCAGGGACTATGACTCTGATGTCACAGTCCCCACGAACTGACTGGACAATTGGTTTGGCAGTTGACGACTTGTGGAGCCGGTTCTCAGCACCACACAGGGAGGCTCTCAACTGCCTACACCTCCAGCTCAAGGGATGCAGTAGCCTCTTCCGGCCTCCACTGGCATCTTCATGTGCCTTTTACTTACACAGACACACAAATAAACAAACACAACAAAAATAGACTTAAAAAAAAAAAGAATCCTTAAGAAGTGACCTTGCTACTTTTAGGTACCTAAGTGCAGTGAAATTAAAGGCATAGATGTTAAATAAAGAGAGAGGAAAACTTCATTTTACTTACCCCATAGCAAACTCATCTAAATTTGTCTTCCCCATGAGTAGAGCTCCCTGATCCAACAACTTCTGAACTACCGTGGCATTGTAAGGTGGTATATAACCTGGAAAAATAATGTTTTTATTATATGAGAGAAAATAGCAAATAGGAAGTACAATTTTAAAATTTAATTAAGTAATTACTATTGGAGTATAAATTATTCTTACACTAAATAGCAAACTGTACTTTCTTCTACGGGTTAATTTTTCTTCTGCTGACTGCCCATCCAAAGATACTCATTACATCATTTACTATTTTCCAATCTGAAAACACTGAGTACTATAAAATGTTGCATGGTAAGACAGACCTAATTCATCTGACAATAATTCCTTATCATTATGCTCAAAAGCTCTTTTTCTTCTTCTTAGATAATGTTATGTCACACAGCAATTTATGAATTTTGTTATAAAGAGGCCTATGCACATAGGAGGTGGAGGCAAGAGGGTCTCTGTGATTTCAAGGCCAGTCCAGGTAACAGCGAACTCGGGCCAGCAAGGCTACATGGTGAGACCTTGTCACAACACCAATAACAACAGCAACGACAACAACAGCACCCACCCACAGATTGGAAAAAAAAACACAACCACAGATTAAAAAAAACACAACCAAAAATCCCTCTAGCTTATATTCCAAACCATACTCTAGCCCACGTAATGAAGAGGACTCAGATTTGTACTTTTAGTGGCAGCATTCTGAGTACCTTTTCTTTTTTCAACTTATCTTTCCTACTAGGAGCCAAATATTTTGATAAACATTCTTGTTTTCAAACTGACAGATTAAAGAATAAAACTAAGGATTACTACACAGTTCCAAGAGAACTGGTGAGCAGGTACTGATGAATTAATTCTCAGTACACACAGGAATAATACCAGCCAGTACCAAGTCCTCCTGAAAGGGTCCTAAATTTCATAAGCATTATTCATTCATAATGCTGGCCAACACCTAAGTTAATTCTGCATGTAGTGAGCATGCAGTGAAGGGGCAATAGTCTACCCTAATTCCCACAGGGTTGTAATTTATCTCAGGTTATCTTGAAGCTTCAGTATTTTATCTTTAAGCTGAAAAACACTCATTTTTATGAAAGTACTGATGTTGTGATCATTATTTACCTTTTAGCATGTTTGATGCACATGTTGTCTCGATGCCAGCTGTGCTGAAGTTGTCTTTTACAGCAACAGGAATTCCATCTAAATCTCCAAGTGACTGACCTGCATTCAAAAGCCACAAAGGGGGTTGGTGGTGGAAAGATGGCTCAGTAGGTAAGAGTGCGTGCTCACATGAGGCCGAGTTCCGATCCCAGTACCCACACCAAAGCTCAGCAGGGCCACATGGCTTATTCTTTTTTTTTTTTTTTCTTTTTTTTTCAGAGACAGGGTTTCTCTGTGTAACAGCCCTGGCTATTTGGCTATCCAGGAACTCTCTGTGTAGAGCAGGTTGGCCTTGAACTCACAGAGATCCACCTGCTTCTGCCTTTACGTGTGGGAATAAAGGTGTGCTCGACCACTGCCTGGCATGTGTCTTATTCTTATGCCGGCCTGTAACCCCAGTGTTGTGAGGGGTGAAGACAGGACGGTCACTCTGGCTTGCTGACCTGCAGCCTATCTTCAGGTTCAGCAGAAGACTTGAGGGAATAAAGTGGAGAGTGACAGACATAGGTACCCTCCCCCCACCCCACAGAGAACCCCAGAAGAACAAAACTCCAGAAATCAAGTTTACACTGGAAATTATTATAGAGAGGCACAATATAACATTTACACTAAATACTCAGTACAAGTTCTTTAAACAAGGGATTGTATCAAGTTTAAAGTTTTACTTACTGAAAGACATTGCTACACCCAGTTAAACTGTTCCTCTTGAAAGAGCAATGAAATACAACTGAACACAATTTACACCGACCTTGTTTGTATCTTCTCTCTGATTCTTCAGCTTGTTTTAAGGCTACCTCTTCTGATACAGTAATGTAGGCATTTAAATATTTGGTTTTCTTGATGAGGGAGAGACATTTCTTGCAGAGCTCTGTCGGTGTAACTTGGCCCTGTTTCAGTGCTGCAGAAACCTACAGTAGAGACAATTATCTCTTTATAGACTACACAAGTCCAAATCCTGAAGTGAGGGAGCCATAAACAATACAGTGTGAAACACAATGCACAAGCGAGGCTTGCTCAGAACCAGAGAAGCTATGTTTGAGCAGGACGGTGAGCAAAGAGCAGTACTCACCAGCTGGACGGTGGGAATGGTGGGGAGCACTCTTCCCCTTAGTGAACTAATTTTGTTTCTAAGTTAGACTTAGGAAAATAACAATAGTTTAGGCGAGCCATGTAGGCCCGAGGCAGTGGAGCCCAGCCTGGGTATAGGATGGGTACGGGAGAGCACGTTCAGGAGTAGCTTACTGTAACCATAGAACTATACAGTGAAGAAAGAGAAGCACTTTATGGCACTGAAAAAGATCTTTATATTTACTGGGGACTTCAGATAAGACACACTAGGTGTTCAGAAAAATGCAGAGACATATGATATACATCCACACATATATCTTCTATAAACTCAGGGTTTCTGGTTTTTTTTGTGCATTAAGAAGGCTGGTGGACAAAGGGTTAGAATAAAATGCATGAGAAGCAGGGCTGCAGAGATGACTCAGCGGTTAAAAGCTCATACTGCTTTTGCAGAAGACTCAAGTTTGGTTGCCAACATCCACCTCAGATGGCTCAAGACCAACTGTCACTCCAGGTCTGGGGAAGCCAACTCCTTTGTCCTTCCAAGCACCTGCACACATGCACGCATGCGCGCTCGCACACACTCTCATGCACATGCATACACACACATACACACACCAACAACAACTACAATAAAAATATATCTTTTAAAAATGCAGAGAAGTGACCTGCACCTCCTGTTTAGCGGTGAGACCTGAGATGCAGTGTGATTATTGGCCACGTCCTGAATAAGAATAGGTACTTGCTGATTAGACAAGGACAGTTAACAAGAAGTCAAAGATGCTACCAGGCTTTCTTTGGAGATAATATGCAAAGATAGCTCCGTTGTTCACCTGTTATGTGAGTTCAGGGACAAGAGGGTCTGGAAGGGAGTAATTCTTGACGAGTGTTTACCAAGAGCCAGGCACTGTTGGCTTACCTGTCTCATCGATTCATTAGCAAGTGAGGCATTATTAACGGTCTTGGACAAATGAAGAAGCTGAAGCTCAGAAGCTGTCATTTGCCCAAAGCCACACAAGAGATTGTTGTTAAACCTCCATATATTAGGAATATTGCTTAAGATGAGCCTCTCCACCAATGCAAATAATTCCAATCAGACCAAATTAGACCAAATTAAAGATGTCCACGTTTAATGCAGTGCTTCCGGGTGGCCCTAGAAAGCATGGCGAGGGGAAGGGAGCAGGGAAGACCCAGTGAAACCTGGAGACTATGGGTTCCTTTTCTGGGCAGCAGCTTAAATAGCCTGTGGGAGTGGTCCTGACCCTCCCTGGGGAGGGGTCAGTGCTTGGGGGACTTTCCTGGAGGTGGAGTCTGGACCAAGGCAACTCCTAGGGGGAGGGGACTTGAAATAGAGCTTCCTGCTCCACTGGCACTCTAAGAATGGGTGCCAGGAGCAGGAGTGACGTTTTCACTCAAACATCCCAGACTTCTTGGATATAGGGGTGTCAGAGGGCTGGGGTCTCACTTTTGACCAAACATCTATGGTATGTAATTTTTTTTATTGATAAGATTAATTAGAACAACACTTCAACAGTACAGGAAAGGGTGACAGTATACTCTCCTTACCACTTCAACATCTACTCTCACGGAAGAGTCTGTTCTCCATGTTGACTGTATTCTTATGTCTTAAATGTAAGCAACAGGAGTTTGCACTTATGGTAAGGGTCTGCAAACGATCTGCTTTTGGCTGCTAAACATATCATCAAAGCAATGGCATTCTTAGGGCTGAGCGCTGTGGAAAAACTATGGGGAAAAGGTTTAGGAGAAGTCCCTGGTGCTCATGGACAAGCACAAGAAAGACCCTTTACAAAGGAGGCTACGGGAGTAGTCCTGGGATGGGTTGGGCAGCTAGGCATACCTTAAGGAAGAAACTAAGTGATAAGAGGTCTGTTGCACTGTTTATATTAAATATAATGCTTCAGAAGGAAGGAGCTGGAGAGCAGTGAAAGATGACAGCTTGTTCTCATACTATGGAGAATGGGAAGAGAGAGGGCAGTGAACACCTAGGACAAGCAGACTCACACCCAGAGAGACAGACAAGTACAGGCAGGCCTCTCCCGAGGTAAAGCTGTACCAGTGAGGACTGTGCCTTTCTGCTCCCTTGGTTAGCCTTCTCAGACATTAAGCTGCTTTCTGAGTTAACAGTTGGTATGAGAATAAATGTAGGCACCACAGTCAGTCAGAAAGGGCGGGTGTCCAGGCGCACTGACTTGCAGGAGTGCTGCTTTTCATTTCGGCCATTTTTAGGGACTCCCAATTTGAGAAAATCAGTAAAGAAAATTGGAAAAGAGAAGTGAGACCGAAGATGCTAATTAGACAGAATGGGCTGAGTGTAAAGTATAATATGCAAATTAGACAGCTCTCCTGGGACAAAAGTGTGGCACTACATCTAAATATAAAACAACGTTAACTTAAAACACTGTCACTAAAAGTATCCTCTCCTGAAACTTCTTTGCCAATGGCCAGTGGGCTTTCCATCTTTGCTCCTACTATCTTGTATTAGAGAGTCTACTGAGAGGAAGGGGTAGGCACATGTTCTCTTGGTCCTCCATGCCTCTTTCCCATTCTCTCAAAAACCTCAGGGCATCTGAAGCCCGCGTCTCTCTTGTGTTGATCCACAGTCTGGCTGGCACCACCTATCACTGCTGGCAGTTTTAGTGCTGACGTCACTGTCATCTTTGTTGCTACTACTGGTTCACCTCCAACTTCAAGTTCACAGCTGGGTTTGATGGCTCATGTCTGTAATCCTAGCATTTGGGAGGGAGAAACAAGAGGGTTAGAAATTTAAGGTTAGCTTCAACTAGGTAGTAAGTATGGAACCAGCCTGGGATAGAGGAGAGCCTGTCTCAAAAACAAAGCAAACAAAACCAACCAAAACGAAACAAACAAACAAATGCAGTGGGAGCTCCTTCCGCTCCTTCAGCCTTTAAGATACCGGCCCACTTGGGCGTGGTCTCTTATACTATAAATGTAGCTGTAAAGCCTGCACTCACTCTCTTGCTTCTGGCTCTCACTTCTGGCTGCTAGACTCTGTTCCTGTTTCCCATTCGTGCAGAGGACTGTGAGCTAGGACAGTGATCTGTGAGTCTCCACTAAATAAATAACCCTTAATTATACATAATTTTGAACTAGTGTGGGATATTTTGTATCTTCCGCCATCATCTGACACCCAAACATGGGGACCAGTCCACACTTTTTGGGATCTGTCTACCAGCTGTGTGGTGTGTTGGGCACTGACTCTCCTGCCCACTACTTTAGCCAGTCCTTAGACAGCGACCCACATGCCGGCCCACACACTGCTGCCTGCAATCCCCGCGGTGCACACAGTCTGCAATTTGTACTGATGGAAAAATTTAAGTTTTCTCTTTATTTTGGGCCCCAACTCTCAAAGTCATTTGATCACTTTATTAACTGTTCTTAATTTGTTAAACAAAGCATATTTTTCAGTACCTATGTAAGCAACACATGCTGTTCACTACTGCTAGCGGCTCTTGGCCACATTGTTGCAACTGCGACACCTGCTGGCCGATAACAATCATTACACCTACTCTAAGCCACTGTAATTACTTTATGACAGATAGGATCTGAAAAACTACAAAAAATGACTGATAACAACCAAAAGTTCAATAATTATTTTGCTTATATTATAGAAGGTATTGTGTAAAACTTACACTATTTTATTTCCTATTATTTGATTCTAGGGATTAGCTTTGTTTTTGATATTATCTCACTAAAAAAATGGTACAATACTACAGAGAGGGATAGCATCAATTTGAATCTGTCAGAATCTGTTGAAAAGTTATTATATGTCCAAGGATGAGACATTATCTTTACTGAACAAGTTGGAATCCTCAGTGAGGACATTAAAACAGAACACTGGACAGGAGATTCAGACATTAAAAAAAAAGCAGTAATAAAAAGATTTGAAAAGACTGAGGAATTTATTGAAATTGATGAGCAGGGACAGAAGGTAAAGGACAGGATTTAGCCTCATCAGTATGTGCCAGACCTCTGGATGAATTAGAGTTTCAACTGCATATCCAGTAATTTACTCAGAAAGACCACCTGACACACAGTACCCTAAGGTAGTCAAAGACTATGCATGGGAACCAATATGTATGAGTGATAGAAAAGAAATAAAAACAAGCAATAGTTACTTATGAGCTACAATCACCATTTGTCAGGGAAATGGTGAAATGTGGGCTTCAAGCACTAAGGCCACTCCACACATTTGGCTTCAATTAATCTTAGCAGTCCTAGAATATGGACCTCAGCTGCTTTGGAAGTGTTATTGGAGAGAAGATGCAAAAATTTTAGAGCAAGAGGGGAAAGCAAAAGGATTTGAGACTTCCCAAGATGTAGAAAAAAGATGCGGGCAGGCCTGCTTTTCATCCCACCCAGCTCCTGCATGGCTAGCTTTACACCCGAATTAACAACACACAAACTGTATTCATATAAACATTGCCTGGCCCATTATATCCATCCCCTTTTTGGCTAACTCTCATATCTTGCTTAACCCATTTCTAATAATCTGTGTAGCACGAGGTGGTGTCTTACCAGGAAAGATTCAGCATGTCTGACCTGGCTGCTGGCTCCATCGCATCTGCCCTAAAGAGGAGAGGCATGGCGTCTGGCTCACTTCTCTTCTTCCCAGCATTCTGTCTACTACACCTACCTAACTGACCTATCAGGCCAAGCAGTTTTCTTTATTGATTAACCAATAAAACAACAGATTGACAAACGACCTTCCCACATCACCAAGATCAAATTCTTCATGATCCTCAGGAACAGGCTCACTACAATGAACACACCTTGTCCCTATGCAGCATAGCAGCTTTAAATG